AAAAGTTCTCCCTTTCCTCAATCTTTAATTTATTGCTTGACAACTCCTTAGTTCTACCTGTGAGCAGGGTGCAAGTTTCATCCTGTTTCAGGTACTGGAGGACAGCTCTTCTTACATCCCTCCAAGTCTTCTCTCCTCCAGGCTAAACATCCCTAGTTCCATGAACAGATACTCATATGACATGATCTTAAGGCTCTTGATCATTCTGATCGCCCTTCTTTGGACTCTCTCCAGCTCTGCAATGTCTTTCCTAAAATATGGTGCCCAGAACTGGACACGGTCCTCTGGACCCAGTCTGAGTGGGGTAGTGTACTTACGTCCAGCAGAACTGCGACCGCCCCCTCACTCCCAGTTCTGGATGCCACACTGATATTAATGCAGAACAAGTTCCATTAGCCTCTTTAGATGCCGTGCCTCACCGCTGACTCATAAATGAGCTTGCGGCCCATTGAAACAGGATCCCAGGATAGAGTACTGATCTGATGCTAGCTTGGAAAGCTAATTTTCTTGCACTCATGGAACAAGAATGCCTAGTCTCTCATCCCTTCTTTTTATGCTTTTCTCCCTGTTCTTTCTCCAAACCTTTGTTTGGTTTTCTCTATGTTAGTTAGTTAGTCCATTAATAAACATTTATTGAGTACTTACTATTTGCCAGGCATTATATTAGTTCAGGGTGGCCTACGCCAAGAGCCATTATACTCAATTCGGGCCCGCACATATTACCTTAGGCCTCAGAATATGACACATTCTTTACCCCACGTTAGAAGAGAAGATATTCTGTTTGATAAAGACTATCTGGGCCAGGTTGAGCTCAAGTCATGTCCTCTCTTTACGTGACTTTCCCCCCAAAATCAGATTTAAGACATAATTTCTCTTTTATCCAGGCCACCCCCCCCTTGGGGAGGAGGAGGACTGACTCCCCAGCTCTGACATCATAAGGTCATTGGATTCTAGATATAGTGCTGGAGGTGAGCTCATAGGCCATGAAGTCTACCCTCCTCACATTACAAATAAGGAGACTGAGGCACAGAGACAGAAATTTGCATGTGATCTTTTCCTTGACTTATACAGCCAGTAAATATCTAAGATGGGATTTGAACCTACATCTTCCTAACTCCAAATCCATTCCTCTATCCACTCTCCTATGTATTGGGGAAAACTCCTGACACATCCCCTACGTTATCTGATATTTATTTTGTATGTACATACGAACATTTTATATGTATATACATTATCTCTTCTGTACACTATAAGCTCCTGAGGGCAGGCACTATTTCATTTTTGTCTTTGTACCCCACCCTCTCCCCCCAACCCAGAACAATGTGTCTGGCATTCTCTCAATAGCGAGTTCTTCCTGGAACCTCCATTTTGTGGAAGGGCCCAGGCCTTCCCGCTCTTCCCAGCCCTGTTCCTGGCTTCTGGATCTCAGAACCAAGCACCCACCATTGTCTCATCCTGGAATTTCCTGCAGTGCTTGGGGCCACCTTGACTTGGAACATCCAGTCACTCACATAGCCTTCTTAACTTGAACTATCCCTCTTTAATGGCTTAACACCACTCTAGGCCTCTGGGGACACCTTGTATAAATACTGGAATTTTGTCACTGTGGATTCTCCCTCCATTACCTAGTGGTCTTCAGTGATTGTGCTGGTGGGAGAATTCATGTCCCTAGGGACAACTGGGTGCTAAGCCTCTCTGACTGTTGTGGGGTTGGTCCTCAGACAGCACACTTGGGCTTCATCCCTAGGCCTGGAATTGAAGCCATTACAACTTAGTAAGACCTGACAGAGTTTGGGTTCTACTAACAAAGCACCTACTATGCAGTACAGTATAGAGTGCTAGACTTCAAGTCAGAAAGAGCCAACTTCAAATTCTGTGCCAGCCTCTTAATATGACCCCAGGTGAAGACACTTAATTTCTCTCACACTCAGTTTCCTCACCTGTAAAATGGGGATGATAGTAGTCCCTACCTTGCAGAGCTGTTTTCACTGGTTGTAGCTCTTTAATGTCTTAATGTTAAGTTTTGATACTTTGCTCAAAATATTATATTTTGATATTTGATATTAAGATTTGATTTTTTTGATATAACATTTTGATTCAGTAATAGCTAAACCAGAACTAAATGCTATTAAAGGTTTTTGTAGTAACTTAACTTTTCGTTTATTTAACTTGCTTATTGTTTTTTTAACTTGTTATGTTGTTTGTTTAACTTTTGTAGTAACTTAATTTCTGTTTGGTCATAATGTTGAAACAAATGAGGTCATCCATCTAAAATGCTTTGAAATTCTTAAAGTGCTATAGAAATGTTAGTGATTACTGTATACCAGGTACTGGTACCACGTGGAATAAAACAGCCCTAGCTGTCAAAGATCTCTGTGTGTGTGTGTGTGTGTGTGTGTGTGAGAGAGAGAGAGAGAGAGAGAGAGAGAGAGAGAGAGAGAGAGAGAGAGAGAAAGAGAGAAACAGGGTAGGATGGAGGCTTCTGTAGCTAAACACCCATTTCTGGTTTCCTGAGGTTTCAGTCTGGGTACCATTAACAGGAGCGCTCTGGCTAATCTTAGTTGCTTTGGCTAGGCAGAGAGAAAGGCAATCACCAGGGTAATCAGATCCCCAAACCATTCAGGGCTTTATAGATTAAAGCAAAGTTATCTCCTAATCCCATCAAAATGTCATAATCGTGTGTCACAATTGCATCCAAACACAGTCTGATTGAGATGTCACTAGGGCAGGATCTGGGATCCATCAGGGTCTTACAGATCTGTAAGCAAATAATGCCAGAATGAGAAGATTGGATTTAGCAAGGTCTGGAGATGTTTACAATAAAGCACCATGTACCAGTCCTGACGTCCCCTGTATTTGGGAGGAGAAAAGCTTTTGTGATTTCCCCAGTGCAAACCTACCATGGAATAACCCTGGGACTGTTGCGGTCTGCTCTCTTACCTTGGCCGATCATTGAGATCCTGCATCCTCAATACCACCCAAGGGGATTTTGCTTGTTGGAATAAATGCTTGTTTTCTTGAATCGGATGCTATTTTCTTAGCAGTATAAGCCAGTTAGTAAAAGCATTGCCATCCTAAGGGGAAGAATTCCTTGAGGTTCTGGAAGATATTGGGAAGACCTAAGGAAGTTTAGTTTACAGATCAGAGGACATAGGGAAGGACCTGAGAGATGGCATTTCCTGTCTAGGGGCTGCACCATGGAAGAAAGATTGGGTCAGTTAATGTTGACCCGGGACAGAAAAACAAGGAGTAGTGGGTGGAAGTTATAGGAAGAGAGACGGGTGCTCAATACTTGGGAGAATTTCCTAATCATTAGAGGAAGCTGAGGAAGGAACATCCTCTTTCTCAGGGCATGGTTAGCTTTCTGAAGGGCAGCATAGGTTAGCTAGTGTGGATTCAGGAAGTGGTCATTCTGCCTTGGACTGCTGATGCTTACTGACTAGGTGACCATGGAAAATCTCTTGAGTCTCAGTTTTCTCATCTGGATAGACTTACATAAATGCATACGTGTACACACATTCACAAAAATGTATATATGTATGTGAATGTATATATACATGCATATTTATAACATACACATAATTCTCACATATATACATACATAGGGATACATATTGTGTGTGTGTGTGTGTGTATTTGTTGTTGTTGTTGAGTCTCTTCCAGTCATGTACAACTCTTCATGACCCCATTTAGAGTTTTCTTGGCAAAGCTACTGGAGTGCTCCTTCTCCAGTTCCTTTTACAGATGAGGAAACTGAGTCACACAAGGTTAAGTGACTTGCCCAGAGTCACAGCTAGGAAGTGTCTGAGGCCAGATTTGAACTCACAAAGATGAGTTTTCCTGACCCTAAGTCCAGCACTTAATTCTTTGTGTCTCCTAGGGGAAACAAACATACAGATTGGTGTATGTATAAATATACATCCATACACACATACACGTATCTGTATATACATATATTTATACATACATATATATTATATAGACATTATAAATATGTGTATGTATACACATTCACACATATTTTTATCTCAAAAAGACTAAATTTGGGAACTTTTTTGAAAGTCTGTCTATGGGGAAGGAGGTGGGGGGAACAGAAAGGTGCTTCCTTAGTATTTTGGTGTCCTCTAGTGAGGAACACAATGGTACCATGTCCTTTGTGTAGGGGTTACATATGTGGACCTATTTGGGATGAGAATGTCTAAGTGTCTGGAGGAAAACTAGTACCATCAAACTCGAAATTTCTTTTGTGCTGAAGAGAAGCCAACCGATTGCATTGGATAAAATCTAATTTAAGCTTCAACTGAAACATCACAGGTTAAACCTCTGGGTGGCTTATGCTGTGGCCCCCATTCCAGAATGTGGCTGGTCTACATGTCTTAGGGGTGGAAAACTTTCTTCCATGTCCTGTTAACCAGTGGACGCCATTTTGCAGCACAGATATATCCTTCCTGATGAATTGGCAATTGGTTGCACGAAAGTGTGTTTTTATTGAAAAAGCCCTCCACAACAGGCCCTTGCCTAGCTTTCCACCCTTATCTCCCATTTCTCTCCTTCATGCCCTCCATATTCCAGACAAATTGCACTACTGGCTGGTCTCCAAGTTTAACACAGGAGTAGCAACTCAGAACTGGGAGGGACCTTGGAAATGATTTAGTTCAAGGTCCTCTTTTTGTTTTATTTTCTTCTTTTCCTTTTATCCTTCTGAGCTTGATACACATCAGTAAACATGAACATTAACAGAAAACTCCAACTGAAACCAATAGTTTCTGCTACATATAGAGTTTTTTTTTTAATATTTCAAATTTAGCCTTGCCTTTCTTATCTGTATTTCCCCTTCATACATCCTTCTATACTTTTCTCTTTTTGTTTTAAATATATATTCAATGACACCCCATCTTCCTACCCTTCATCCTTTGATTATCATCATCATGTGACCCAAAACTCACTCTCCCCATCAACAAAAAGTATTTCTTGTGGCAATTAAGTACAGTCACATGGAACAAATTCACATGTCACACGTTGACAGTAACTGAGACTATATCTCACCCAGCACTTCTAAGTCCCATCAGTTCCCTGTCGCAGGTAGGAAACATGCTTTGTTCTCCATCTTGGGGTAATTATGGTGGTTCATTATATTGATTAGAGTTCTTAAGTCCTTCAAAGTTGTTTGTGTTTGTGGTGTTGGTATGTATAAATTGTTCTCCTGATTCTTCTCCCTTTGCTCTGTGTCAGCATGAACCAGTTCTGCAGGTATCTCTCAGTCCATCCCTTTTATCATGTCTTAGTATTCCATAATATTCCCATTATGTTTATATACCAACATTTGTTTTGCTATTCCCCAATTGATGGGCACTCATTTTGTTTCCAATTCTTTGCTACAACAACAACAACAAATGCAGATATAAGCATTTTTGTACATTTTAGTTCTTTCCCTCATTCGTTAATTTCTTTGGGAGTATAGGCCTAGCAGTGGTATCACTGAGTCAAATGATATTTTTTAAAAAAATTTAGTGATATTTTAGGTGTAGTTTCTAGAATGGATGGATCACTCCACAGCTCTACCATCAGAACACCAATGTACCTTTCCTGCCACGGACCTCCAATTGTTTCAATTTTCCCTTTTCATCATCTCTGCTACTCTAATGAGTAGCAGGTAGATTTTTAAATTTTCATTTCTCTTTTTATTCGTGGTGTGGAACATTTTCCTTGTGACTATTAATAGTTTGTGATTTTTCTTTTGAGAATTACTTGTTCATATCTTTTGATTGTTTATCTATTGGGGAATGGCTCTTGTTATCATTTTTATATTAATACCCTATACTAATTTGCTGTAAGGTAATATATCTTCTATATCAGACCCTTGACAGAGCAATTTGCAGCAAAGATTTCCCCCCTCCCCCAGTTAACTATTTCCCTTCTAACTGATTTTGTTTGTGTAAACATTCTTCAATTTATGTAATTGGAATTGTCCATGTTATTTCTGGTGATCCTTTCTAACTTCTTCCTTACTCTTATAATTTTTGTGATATGACATTTAACATCTTTGTCATATATCCATTTGTCGGGGCAGCTAGGTAGTGCAGTGGATAGAGCACTGGCCCTGGAGTCAGGAGGACCTGGGTTCAAATCCGGCCTCAGACCAAACGCTTGACACTCACTAGCTAGGTGACCCTGGGCAAGTCACTTAACCCCAATTGCCTGAAACCAAAACAAACAAACATATATCCATTTGTCACTAATTGTGGTGTACAGTCTGAGATGTTTGTCTAAACCTAGTTTCTGACAGAATGTTTCTCAATTTCCCACAGCAGTATTTGTCAAACAATAAGCCTTTTTCCCTCCTATTAATTACATGCTTTCCTTTAATTCTCTCTTGTAAGTGATCTTTCTGTGCATTTCTTTATCTCTGTATATTTTCTCCCAGTAAATCCTCAGAGATTAACACAATGCTTTACACATAGTGTTACTTAATAAACTCTTGCTGAATCACTTTATGGTGGGGAGCGGTAACATTATACATGAACAATTTACCAAACTGTGTGTCATAAAATCACAGATTTGTAACTGAAAAGAAGCTTAGGCTTCTTTTCTCTACTCCAAGGGTGATTAACTTGAGGTCCACAAACTTGTTTCTAACAATAGCTTGACAACTGTATTTCAATATATGTTGGTTTCCTCTGCATTTTACTTTATGCACTTAAAAATGTTCCGAGAAGAGGTTCATAGGCTTCACCAGACTGTCAATGAGCTAATGACCCACACTGAAAAAATGCAAGTCAACAAGTACCTATTAAGTCACTAAGCATTTATTAAGACTATGTTCCAGGAAGAGATGTGCTGTAAGATCCACTGGATTTGAGTACTACTCCCTCATTTTACAGATGGGGAAGCTGAGACCCCGCTGGGTTGGATGATTTAGCTCAGGTCACATATAGAGTAAGTGATACAGCTGAGATTTGAACCCAAGTTCCAGATGCAGTGCCCACTCCACGGCAACATTCTCCAGACTTTATGGAGTGATTTGATCTGAATTCATGTAACAATAGGATTGCAAAAAACTTTACTTTTTGCTTGAATTAAGGTTATCTTACTAGAAATACACAGGGCAAGTCAAGAACTATGGAATGGGCTACCTGGAAGGGTAATGGGTCCCCTTTCCCTGGAGGTCTTTAAGCAGCATCTGGACAACCACTCCTAGGTTCTGTCAAGATCAGGATTCCTTTCAGGTTTGGGTTGGACTTGTTGGCTGCTAACATCCCTTCCGAATTGCAAATTCTGTGATTCTGTTATTTTTATGACTAGGTGTCAGCTGCAGAGGGGGTCTCAGCTTCCCAGATGGGCTATGAACCTGATCAGTCAACAGAAAGGGATGGAAAACACACCCATGGAAGAACTTTGGATCGCAGGGCATTGGACGGGGACTTTCCCCAGACTTCCCTTCTTTGTAGCATGGTTTCTGGACTGAGTGACTAAACCATTCTGGGAAGAGAGATAAGAAAAAGAACTCACTTGGAGGTGAGATGAATTTGCTATTGTTTCGCTGCAAGGATCGTGTTGCTACTCCCCTTCTATGTTGGAACTCTCTTGAATAAATATTCTATGTTTAGCTACCGATTAGAAGCCCCAAGTTCTTTGTAGGGGGTATATTTATATACCCTGAGGGGAGAGCTAAAATAAGCTATATTATGATTTTTCCAGAGTGGGAATCTGGGTGGGGTCACAAGGCATGATGTTATTATTAGTAAGTTTCCAAGATTGAACTCAGTCCCTCTGTCGTCAGTGGAGACGCTAGTTACAATGATATCCATCTCTCTGTAATCTACGTATGTGTGTATATAAACACATGTATGTATATACATACACATGTGTGTATGTACATGGATATATGCATGAGAAGATATATGTACATATATTTATATACATTATCCAGACCTATGATTTCACTGGTACTAGGAAGTGACAAAGAGAGAAATCTCTTTATTCCTGAGAACTGACACCTGTTCTCCAAATTTATATTTTTAGAAAGTTTCCTGGGAGCCATGAGTGACTTAAGTAACTCCCCTCCCCCAAGATCGTAGTATATGTCAGAGGCAGGAATAGAACTCGGTTCTATAGATGGCAAAGGTGGCAGACTCGGGGGGAGAGCAGCATGGAGAAAGGCACAGATGTGTCCTTCTGTCCACTGCTCTCCATACTGCCTCCTCTCTATAGACAACGATGGCGAACATTTATATACCGACTTAATGTTTGCAAAACACTTTAAGTATATTATCCCTTTTGGTAATCATAGCAATCTATGTAAGGGAGGTGCTATTTTTATCTCCATTTTACAGATGAGAAAACTGGGGCTCATTATGGTTGAGTGAATTGCCCAGTGTCACACAGCTATCACGTATCTGAAGCAGGATTTGACTCCAGATCCAACACTCTATTTACTATAGCAACTAGCAAACTAATACACAGACAGACAGACATGCTATAGACAGCAGCCATGTGGCTTAGAAGGGGGGAGGCAGTCTCTGGTATGACCATGCTTTACTCACAGAGATTTGGTTTCTCCTTCATCAGGGTTAGCACAGTTTCTGGTATATAGTAGGTGCTTAATAAATGCTTGTTGACTTGACTTTACTCAATGGAGGTCTCTAAGTAGAGTCTGAAGTCTCTGAATGCTTAAGAAATGCATGTTGGCTTAATAGATAGTTGTTGACTTCTTACACTTCTGTGTATGTGCGTTTTGTGAGGGGTGCTGTAGACGTTGGTTCTGATGCGGGAACAGTTGTACTAGAAATCCCTCTCTTAGGTTCCTTCAAACCAAGGTTCTGTGATTGTGGTAGCACCCCACCCTAGCCTTTGTTGCTTTCACCATCAGATACACCTCAGGTATTGTCTTCTTTTCTCTCTCGTTCTCTCTCTGTGTCTCTGTCTCTCTGTCTCTCTATCTCTTTTTCTCTTTCTGTTTCTGTCTCTGTCTCTTTCTCTGTCTATCACTATTTGTCTCTGTCTGGTATCTCTCCATCCCTCTGTCTCTCTCTCTGCTTCTCTCTCTGCTATTCTCTCTCTCATCTCTGTCTCTTTCTCTGTCTGTCTCCTCTCCTCTCCTCTCCTCTCCTCTCCTCTCCTCTCCTCTCCTCTCCTCTCCTCTCCTCTCCTCTCCTCTCCTCTCCTCTCCTCTCCTCTCCTCTGCTCTCCTCTCCTCTCCTCTCCTCTCCTCTCTCACCCTACCCCTCTACCTTCATCACCCAGGATGCACCTGTTGGTGGTGACAGTCAGACCCCCAAAGGTCCCAAGACTCAGTTTAAAATATCTAACTGGGAATCAGCTCCCTCCTGGGGCAGGTAGGAGTAATGCTTGTTTCCTGCTGAGGGGGATGTGGGGAATGTCCTCGCTATGGGGAGCTCCCCAGGACACACACTCCTCTGTCAACGCTGCTTACTGCCTGTTCTGCTATTCTAGCCTTGGAGAGATCTCTGGTAGTGCTGAGAAGTGACAGGCCTTGGCCAGGGTCACTCAGTCAGAATGAATCAGCACAACCAAGTCTCCCGGTCTCCAAGGCCAGCCCTCTAGTATCACACATACTCTGTGAACCACAGCTCTATTATTAGAGATATTGAAGAGGAGCAGTGAATAGAGGAATGGGCATGGACTCAGGATAGATCTGAGTTAAAATCTGGCCTCAGACCCTTACTAGCTGTTTGGCCCTGGGTAAGTCATGTAACCTCTGTCTACTTCAGTTTCCCCATCTATGAGATAGACTAGATAATAACACTTCTATTGTGCTTTATATTTTGTAAATCACTTTATAAATTTTATCATGTGTGAGCCTCATAAAAAACCTGTGAGGTGGGTGTTATTATTACCCCCATTTTACAGATGATGGAACTAAAGGTGAGAGATATTAAATGACCTGCCTAAGGTTGCATTGAGGCAGGATGTGAACTCAGGACTTCATGCCTTCAGACCTAGCACTCTTTGCATTACGCCTGGCTGCCTCTATAGCAGAGATGACCATGAAAGTCTTTACAAATTTAAAGCCATGATCTTAAGTGTTGGAGGTCACATTTGAACCTGGATCTTCCTGACTCTCAATCCAGCACAAACTCTGCCATACCACAAGGCTCTTCATTTCCCAAGCTTTGCCCCTCTCTGTACACCCGGCTCATGATCAGCTCTCCTGGCCCCAGGCTATAGGGCCCAATGAGAAGCAGACTATGTATCTGGGCAGAAAGATCCTATGTGAACTGGTGTGTGATGGCAGAGACAGGGCCTGTGCAGCCCGCCCGCCTCCAGCAGGGTTCACTTAAACCAGCCCAGATGGTCAGGGATCTGGCCCATTCTTGAAAAACTTCCCACCCCTGCCCCCTGAAAAGGAAATTCCCTAATATTCCTTGGTAGCTTGTGCCAGTGCCTAATTACCCTCACTGTGGAAGGAAATTCTGACTTGTAGCTAACTGAAATCCTTTATGCTGTAGTTTAAGCTCATTTCCTGTCACATCGTCAGGGAAGATGGAGAGCAGATGTTCACTATTGTTTGCTGAAGGGCCCTGTGCCATACATTTTAAAATTATAAAGGAAGCAACCCTCCCCCTCCCCTCCCCTTCCCCTCCCCTCCCCTCCCCTCCCCTTTCCTCCCCTCCCCTCCCTTCCATCCCTCCCCTTCCCTTCCCTCCCTCCCCTCCCTCCCCTCCCCTTCCCTTCCCTCCCTCCCCTCCCCTCCCATCCCTCCCCTTCCCTCCCTCCCCTCCCTCCCCTCCCTTCCCTCCCCTTCCCTTCCCTTCCCTCCCTTCCCTTCCCTTCCCTCCCCTTCCCTTCCCTTCCCTTCCCTTCCCTTCCCTTCCCTTCCCTTCCCTTCCCTTCCCTTCCCTTCCCTTCCCTTCCCTTCCCTTCCCTTCCCTTCCCTTCCCCCCTTCTCTTCTCTTCTCTTCTCTTCTCTTCTCTTCTCTTCTCTTCTCTTCTCTTTCTCTTCTTCTCTTCTCTTCTCTTCTCTTCTCTTCTCTTCTCTTCTCTTCTCTTCTCTTCTCTTCTCTTCTCTTCTCTTCTCTTCTCTTCTCCTCTTTTCACCCTTTGTTTTCCCTTCCCTTCATTCTCTTCTCTCCTCTTTTCTTCTCTTCCCTTCATTCTCCTCTCCTCTCCCATTTTCTTTCCTTCATTCTCTCCTCTCCTCTTCTCTCCCTTTGTCTTCCCTTCCCTTCAGTGCTCTCCTCTCTTCTCCTCTCCTTCCCTCCTCTCCTTTATTTCTCTCTCTCCTCCAAGCTAATTCCAGTCTCTTTGCTTTTCTCAGTCATGAGCTTATAGCTCTAGAAGAATCTTAGACACCATCTAGTCAATGCCTTTATTTTACAGAGCAGGAAACTGAGGCTAGCTGGGGTTAATGACTTACACAAGGTCATCCATGCAGTAAAGGAGAACTGGAATCCAGCTTGACCACTTCCAGGATAACTAGGAAGAAAGAAAACACCTTGTCAATGTTGTGGTGATATAGACATCGGAGCATGTCCATACACACGTCTGCCCTTATAGGGTGGAGGTGGAGTGGGCATAGCTAGGCATGTGGATGGCGTGCGCCCATGGGTTTCTGCACACTCTTCCATGTGCTGGCACGCATGACACCCACCTTACTGTGTGTCCCTTCCCATCTCTCTCCAGGCTGTGCCCCAGAAACTTCTTTGTCATAAAGCCTCAATCCAACCCTAGAATTCACACATCTGAACCATCCTCCAGCCAGCAGCCTCTGCTCTGATTGGATGCTTCCTCCTAGCTCAGTCATGTCTCATTCCTTTCCAGCCTGGAGACTTCAGACTTTTTCTATTTTGCCACTGTACTGGATCTGTCCCACCACCCCTTTAGCTCCCTCTTACACGTTGTCCAGGGTGGGGAAGAGGGGAAGAAGAAAAGAAATTTACATGATAACTTTATTATTATATGTTTAACGGAATAGCAAGTTGTATGTAATAAATGATAAGAATGAATTTGCAGTTTCATATGCAATCATCTTTTTTTATTCTACTTTGTTTTAGAAATGCTTGTTTGATTTCACAAATCAAAAATAAAATAAGGGTGTAAGCTCCTTGAGGAAAGTAGCTGTCTTTCTGCTTGTACTTGTATCCCCAGAGCTTAGCGCAGTGTCCAGAACAGAGTAAGCATGAAATGCTTGTTGAATGACAAAGTGACCAACAGAGTTTATGTTCCAACCTTTTTTTAACCATAGTCATGATTTTCTCTTGAACCATTCCAAGCTATCAATGTCTCTCTCAAAAGGGTTTGTTCTTTATCTTTAAATTCCTAGCATTTAGCGCAGTATCTGACACAACATAAGAAACATTTAAGAAATGCTTGTTGAACGAGATGCTGCACGTTATAGTTAAAAGAATCCACTTTGCATCTGGACTCAGAGATTTTTCTTGTCATTCAGTCATTTCTGACTCTTCATGACCGCATTTGGGCTTTTCTTGGCAAAGATATTGGAGTGGTTTTTTGCTCCAGCTCATTTTACAGATGAGGAAACTGAGGCAAACAGGATGGAGTGACTTGCCCAGGGTCACACAGCTAGTAAGTGTCTGAGGTTGGATTTGAACTTAGGTCTTCCAGACTCCAGGCCAGGAACTCTAGCCACTGCACCACCTGGCTGCCTTGGAGTCAGAGGACTTGAGTTCAGATGCTGTCTTTGATACTTAACTACCTCTGTGACTCTGCCTGAGGCTCTCAATTGACTTTGGTCTTAGTTTCCTCATCTGTAAAATAAGGGGTGTGGACTGAATGACCCCTAAGTTTCCTTCTACCTCTAGATTTAGGTTCTTATGAATGAATTACTTGTAAATTTCAAACATTGTGCTAAAGGTAATTTTAATAATAATAATATTAATAAATAATAATATTATTAACAAAGGCAACATTATTAATAATATCTAGCCTTTATATAGCACTTTGAGGGTTGCAAAACCCTTTACAAATAACATCTCATTTTAGCCTCCCAATCATCTTGGAAGGTACTATTACTATCCTCATTTTACAGATAAAGAAACTAAGTCAGATAGAGGTAGAGTGACTTGCCCAGGCTTACACAGCTAGTAAGTGACCAAGGCAGAATTTGAACTCAAGTTCTTGAATCCAGGACCCACTTGGTCCCCACTGAACCATCGAGTGGCCCTCTATCATCTCCTCTTATCTCAGGTTCTAGTCCTGGTTGATAGGTCCCAGGTGTAAAGATAGAAGGGACCTAAAGAGGTCCCAGATAGATTAAGTAACTTGGGAAGAATTGCATAGGATTTCAAGCTGGAAGGTGTGGGCTGAGAAGGGAAGGAATTTTCCCTTACATCCTTAGAACTCATTCTGTCTTCCTTCTTTATCTACATGATCCTGGGGCTTCAAAGTAAAATTGGTGACATCTCCATTTAATTGCCAGTGGCTCACCATCTCCTGGGATATTTTTGCAGAAGCCTACATCCATGCATTCAAGGAAAATGTCTTGATTTGACAGGTCTTTCTCCAGGAAGACAGGAGAATGTTATTAAATCATGTGGATCGTCTTCTGTCCTTCCCCTCTTCAAGAATCCAGCTGCATCTCCAGCCTTCTTCACTTGTATTGCAAGCTCCCAATTTCTGAAGCAATAAAGTCTGAATACACCAATTGGCAATTGGACCTCTTTTTCCCCTGGAGTCCCTTCCAGGGAAATTTTCTGTGAATGACTTTAGCAGAACTACTCAAGGAGCTGTGAAACACACATCGATGAGATCACAAGGAGACTATTTAATAGGATTTCTCTTTTTTCGAGTTTCCCCGAGGACTGCCACGCTAATAATTCACCCAGGCAGCTGCCCATTTATTTCCTCCCAATACTCAAAGCTCTGGGTCATGACCAAGTTCAAAAGTGCCTGAACTTCAGTACCCAACATCAGGCCCAATGATTCAACTTCACCTCTCTGTCTCCTGGCACTGCTGGCTAAGGAAGGGACCACCTTCCAGTATATTTGCCAAGTTGGACAATGGGCTGGTGAGGAAGGAAAAGGAGAGGCCAGTATGAGAAGAAGACTGAATACATAGCTATAACCAAAATGCCTTTCTCTTTTATTTTTACCACATGAAAAAAAATGGCATGAGGTAAGTCTGTCTTGACCTACTCTTGATGCTGTTGCCCGCTGTGTTGACTGGCACATGGTAAGAGCTCAATAGATGTTTGAATGAGTAAAAGAAAAAGCGTTAATTAAGTATTTACTGTGGACCAATCTATGTATCAATAGGTTCTGGGAATTCAAGTAGAATAATCCCTGTTCTCAATGAATTCATATTCTAAATGGGGAGAGAATATATACAAGAGAGCATAGTAATAGGGCAGATGGAAAGGCCCAGTGTATCTGTATCTAAGGGGGTATCTGTAGGGCTCTTGCAATTAAATTAAATGGATAAGTCCAGATTGGCTTTTAGGGATCATTGTTTCCCTGTCCTACCTTTCAGAAGCTGTATCTTTAATAATGTACTTTAAAATTTTGCAGGGATAAAAGTCAAGTTTGCTGGTCAGTAGTTCAGAGACTTTTGAAAAATTCCCATATTGCCAGAAACAATATATGCAGCAGCTACAACAATGAGAATGGAAAGACCATCACTGACACTATGAATAACAAAGTGGAAACTGGTGAAGTGAGATTGCAATGGCCAAGTTGGGTCACAAAAAAGAATATGTGAATGAACCTCCCTCCTTGTTTGTTGGCTGATGGGGGGTACTATCCATGGGAAATATTGCAAATAATGTCAGTTGTGATGGATGTGCTGATTAATTTTACTCAATTTATTTTTTAGTGTGTGTTCCCTTTTTTTGTTGTTCTTCTGTATTACAGATGACTTTCCAGGAGGGAGGGAGAGGGAGGACTAGATAAGTGAATGTGATGTAAAGTTGAATAATAAAATAAAAATATAATTAGAAAGAAAAGTCTAATATATTTAAATATTTATACCAGTACAGTTGACAGCAGCAAAAAACTGGAAGCAAATGGTTATCCACTGATTGAGGAAAAAACAAAGCATGGTATAGAGTATAATAAAATATTACATTCCAAGAAAAAATGAAGATGAAAAATTCAGAGGAACTTGAGAAGATCTAAGTGAATTGATTCTGCAGAGTAAATAGAATGAGAATAATATGAAAAACAATACAAAGTGAGGCAACATTGAGAGATATCAGAACCCTAATCAATGCATCAATCAACTGTGACTTCAAAGGACTTATGGTGAAACATACTTCCTTCCTCTGGCAGAGGAGTGGTGGACCATAGGTGTGAAATTAGGTTTGATGTAACTGAGTTTTTTGTTGTTTATTTTGATTGACTATGTTTCTTTCTTAAAAGAAAGGGTCACACAGATGCTTATGATAAGGAGACGTTAGCAAGTGGCAATACTTTAAAAGAAAAAAATTGCAAAGGAGAAGTAAGGGATGAGGAAGTGGGGAGAGGAGAGGAGGGGAGAGGAGAGGAGAATAGAGGAGAGGAGAAAGAGACAGGCACAGAGACAGAGAGAGATAGAGACAAAGACAGAGGGACACAGAGGACAGAAACACATATAGAGAGACACAGATTAGACTCCTGTTTTTATTTTTGAAAACTGGGATATTTGCCTCTCTCTTGAAATGAAAACTGAAGCAGAAAACTGGCAGAAAATTGAGGTTCCACTTTATACCCATTCAAATTTGCAAAACTGAATGAAAAGAAAGATGATAAATGCAGTAAAGGCTAAGGGAAAATAAGGATATTAATTGCATTGTCGGTGGAGCTATGGATTGGTACAGTCATTATGGAAAGTAATTCAGAACTATGCCCACAAAGTTATCAAATTGCAAATACCCTCTGACCCAGCTATTCTGTTACTAGAGCCCATACTCCAAAGAGTTCAAAGAAAGAGGGAAAGGATCCATATGTACCACAATACTTATAGTAGCTCTTGTTGTACTGGCAAATAATATCAACAATAAGTATTTAGTAAGTACCTACTATATGCCAGGCACTCTGCTAAGTGCTGGGGATACAAAGAAAGGTAAATGATTATCCTTGCTCTCAAGGAGTCTGCAGTCTAATGGAAGATCAATAAGTAAGTCACTTTATCTCTCTGGGCCTCAGTTTCCTCAACTGTGAAATAAGATTGAGTTAGATGGGGTGGCTAATGATATATGTAGTGTCTATCTTATATGTAGGGCTGTTGGAGATCAAATGAAATAATATTTAAAAAGTACTTTGCAAACTTTAAAGTGTTTTATAAGTGGCAGCTTTTATTATTTGCCTATATTTCTCTTTCCAAATGAGAAGTGATGCCTGCAAATATTTTTCCCTTTAAAGCAAGCCTTTTCCATTTGAAGCAATTAAATTCAATTAAACACATCTTTTTTTTTAACATAAACACTATGATGTATCTGTTTCCAGAGCTAAACTAAGCACCTTTCCAGTCACTACTCACTGTCTACAACATTCCATTCCTGTAGTCCCCTACCTCTCTGCTGAGAGGAGAGACACACATTTTGTTATCTGTTCTGTGTTTTCTCCTTGATATTTTGCAAATTAATCTACATTCTGAAACTGTGTTACTCTCAGCTGCCATGCTATCTGTTTGGCAAAGAAATCAATGCTATCTGCCCAAGGTCCTTTCTGTGCTTTTAAAGCATCCTTGCTGTGATTGGCTTACATTAATAAAGCTGTTATAGGAAACACTGATAATCAGTGCCAATGTCTTATCTTTTATCTATTTTCAATTTTTTATTAAGTGTTCATTTTGTTAGGTCAGGTTGGGGCTGTTGCAATTGTCTACCATATGATTTTTATCCTCTTTTTAATTGTGGTGATAATTTTGAATTTGGCTTTCTAAATAGTTGATTATCTAAGTGCATATAGACAATGAACACATATACAGTGATACTTGGTGACTTCAGTATAAAGGTAGAAAGAGGAATTTGGTAAAAAAAAATATGCACAGAAGCATGGTTCTGTAAAAAAAGTAGGCTCAAGTTTAGTGTAAAGAAAAGAAAGAAAAGAAGAAAGAAAGAAAGAAAGAAAGAAAGAAAGGAAAAAGAAAGAAAGAAAGAAAGAAAGAAAGAAAGAAAGAAAGAAAGAAAGAAAGAAAGGAAGGAAATAATATCAACAATAAGTATTTAGTAAGTACCTACTATATGCCAGGCACTCTGCTAAGTGCTGGGGATACAAAGAAAGGTAAATGATTATCCTTGCTCTCAAGGAGTCTGCAGTCTAATGGAAGATCAATAAGTAAGTCACTTTATCTCTCTGGGCCTCAGTTTCCTCAACTGTGAAATAAGATTGAGTTAGATGGGGTGGCTAATGATATATGTAGTGTCTATCTTATATGTAGGGCTGTTGGAGATCAAATGAAATAATATTTAAAAAGTACTTTGCAAACTTTAAAGTGTTTTATAAGTGGCAGCTTTTATTATTTGCCTATATTTCTCTTTCCAAATGAGAAGTGATGCCTGCAAATATTTTTCCCTTTAAAGCAAGCCTTTTCCATTTGAAGCAATTAAATTCAATTAAACACATCTTTTTTTTTAACATAAACACTATGATGTATCTGTTTCCAGAGCTAAACTAAGCACCTTTCCAGTCACTACTCACTGTCTACAACATTCCATTCCTGTAGTCCCCTACCTCTCTGCTGAGAGGAGAGACACACATTTTGTTATCTGTTCTGTGTTTTCTCCTTGATATTTTGCAAATTAATCTACATTCTGAAACTGTGTTACTCTCAGCTGCCATGCTATCTGTTTGGCAAAGAAATCAATGCTATCTGCCCAAGGTCCTTTCTGTGCTTTTAAAGCATCCTTGCTGTGATTGGCTTACATTAATAAAGCTGTTATAGGAAACACTGATAATCAGTGCCAATGTCTTATCTTTTATCTATTTTCAATTTTTTATTAAGTGTTCATTTTGTTAGGTCAGGTTGGGGCTGTTGCAATTGTCTACCATATGATTTTTATCCTCTTTTTAATTGTGGTGATAATTTTGAATTTGGCTTTCTAAATAGTTGATTATCTAAGTGCATATAGACAATGAACACATATACAGTGATACTTGGTGACTTCAGTATAAAGGTAGAAAGAGGAATTTGGTAAAAAAAAATATGCACAGAAGCATGGTTCTGTAAAAAAAGTAGGCTCAAGTTTAGTGTAAAGAAAAGAAAGAAAAGAAGAAAGAAAGAAAGAAAGAAAGAAAGAAAGAAAGAAAGAAAGAAAGAAAGAAAAAGAAAGAAAGAAAGAAAGAAAGGAAGGAAAGAAGGAAGGAAGGAAGAAAGGAAGGAAGGAAGGAAGGAAGGAAGGATAAGGAGGGAAGGAAGAAATTATATTCATTAAGCATTTAGCATTAAACAAGAGTATTCATTGACTTCTTCTTGGGGGTACCTGTTTGGTTTGTGGACATTGGAGAGCCCTGTGATGGCAGCTGTCTTAACCCTAGCTCACCTCTGGGCTGGTGTACGGTCTTCTTTGTGGCTTATGAATCAGAGTAGGGCAAAGAGTGGTTATATTTGGAACGATTGAGGACTAATACTTGTCTGTGATATTGACTGGCTTCAATCCAGGGAACACTACAGTGAGCTAAGAAGTGACAATGTCTCAAAGCTTGGTGGAGATGCTGGCCAGCAATGGGCTCAAGCAGAATTCAGTGTGTCACAAGCAAGGACCTGTGCAGGGAAAAACCATGGAAAGGATGTTGTTGGAGAAATGTATAACCAGAAAAAGAAATGGCAAAGTCAACTAGTGAAAGGGAGGAGAAAGTGATGGATGTTCCATGGGTGCCTGTGTAGTTTACAGGCCACGCCTCGGGAAGGTTGGGTGGAGCACCTTTGGTGAGCTTGTGGAAGGATATACATAAAGGAAGCACAAGATGAGCAAGGAGGAATGAGTTGAGAACCTACATCAAGGAGACTGCAGATCCCCGGGACTGTTGGAGCAGTAATACTACAGGTGCTTTAGATCGTTTCTTAAGAGTCATAAAATCATAGAATTGGCAATACTAAAGGGCATCTTAGAATATAGACCTGGGAGGATCCTTACAGAATAGAATGTCAGAGCTGGGAAGGTCTTTACAACATAGAATGTCAGAAGAAGAGGAGCTTCTTGGAACAGGGAATGTCAGAACTAGAGAGACTTTTAGAACAGGGAAGAAAAAAAGAGCTGGGAGAGGCCTTAGAACAAGGAATGTCAGAACTGGAAGGGGCCTTAGAACAGGGAATGTCAGAACTGGAAGGGGCCTTAGAACAGGGAATGTCAGAGCTGGAAGGGGCCTTAGAACAGGGAATGTTAGGGCTGGAGGGATTTTAGAACACAAAATGTTAGAGCTAGGCAGTAGTATGCTGGCAAATTTACATTTAATAATCAGCTCTCTGGGGAAAAAAAGTGTCCCCATAAAACATTTTTAAGTTTGATTTGCATTTTTGACATTTTCTCTATCACTGTCTTAAGTCTAGACAGCCAACAAAAGAATGAATCCAGCCCTGACTTGCAGCATTTGCTGGCTCCCAAGGTGTAAGTGTCACGTTGAAGATTTCTCCATCTGCCAGCCCATCTGAAATGACTCCATACGTTCGGCTGGAAAGGAGTAATCTTTGGTCATGCAATATCAAGAGTACAGATCTGAGGGAAAAGGGCCTCCATCCATTTCCACGTATGGATGTGTGATTTCAGGAAATGTCCCTTAACCATTCTGGGGTCTTGACTTTCAGTTTCAATGGCTCCAACAGGAAGGACCTAATCCGTAGACTGGACAAGCATAGCAGAATCACATTCGTGAGACGGACAAATCTTGGGACATTTCTGTCCCGAATGTTCATATGGTGTT